TTAAATAAAGGATCATTTTACGACTTATTTCTCTCAAACTCAAAGGATTCCTCGTTAATTTACATACGAGGTACTTCTATTCTGCTAGTTTCTTTTAGTATGGACTTTGAAAATCGTTACAACCACCATATGAGGATAATGTTTTTTTAATGGGACCCAAAGGAGGAGAGTTGAACGCTTCGTAACAGATTCGTTGAGAATGCGTTTCTCCGAAAAAGCGACGAAGGACCGCGAACCCTCTGAGGCCACAGTTCAACGTTCCGGTTTGGGTACGGGCCAAGGCTTCTTCCTCTTCCCCTCCCGTCGTTCGGATTTCGGCAAAACAACATTCACCATTTCACCCGCTGAGTAAACAGCCGGACGCCTCTTTCCAGCCGTGAAAAACACAGACCAGGCTATCCTTAAACTAATAGCGGATCGAAAAAAGAAAAAAAAATCCCGCTTCAAATGTTTTAAATCTGTCTCACTACTCGTTAGTATGGAACAAAGATTAAAAAAAAAAATAATAAACATATTAGTTCGATTTTCCACCAATAATTGAAAAAATGTTCGTGAATAAATAATTATTTTCTTACTACCTCATACGCATTCAATGTTGAACCGTATTTCGAGAAAATCTGACGTTTTACTTCTTTTTTTTAAACGTGCCAACCTATAGCGCGCAATTCTTGCGTTGTGAGCCTATCAGTGCTGCGGAGTGATGAACCTGTAGTTTAGTGAATACGGAACAGTCTGCCAAATCTTGGTCTGCTAAACGCACTTCGGTGTTTCTTCAGCTTGAAAGGTTTATGTCGTCTCATCCTCGTCATATCCCTAACCAAGCGCTTAAGACGGCCCGAGGCCGAACCATGACCGACATACCAAAATTATCAGAAATTTCCGACTTTAGCAAAATCAACAGTTTATGTTTTCGATGTAGGATCAACTATAGGATTTACGACAAAAATGAAAAACAGTGGAGCAACGTCTAGGTTATAAGCATGTTGAGATAAGAAGATATTGACTACTTGGTTCAAAATGGTCCTTGAACATATTTCTAAAAAGAATACTGAATACTAGAAGAGAGTTTATACCCTTTGAGCTCAGAGATATACCTAAAATTACCGATCTGAAGGAAGAGAAAAGAAGTTGATAGCCACAGTCATCAAGGGATGTTTAGTTTTTGAGGGTTAGCTATACACTTTGAGCTCAGTTTTGGACACTCTCATCACGACACAGTAATAACACATCTACACAGGAAACAAACACTTTGAGCCCTGAAGATGATCTTAATAAAGATCGAAGCGTTAGAACGATAAAGAAAATGTTATTCTAAACTTACGTCACACCAGATCGCATCTCACGATCTCCAAATAATCATTAATTATCTGTCACTAGATACCACACATTTGAGCTCAAAGTAATACATGAAATTAAACTTTACTTGAAAAAAGCTAAAGAAAAGAATTTGAAAGCCAAGAGTTTTTCGGTTTTTCGGGGTAGGATGATATTCCCTTTCTGCTCAGAGATGTACCTATACCTTATACGTTATTTGAAGGATACACTTGGAGTTGAGTTATACTTAACATGATATTTAACTTGAAAGAAGCTACAGAAAAGAAGATGAAAGTGCTTTTTAATTTTTGAGGGTTTTTAAGGAAGATATTCCCTTTGAACTCAGAGATGTATCGAAAATCATACTTTATTTGAAGAAAGAGAAAGAAAAGAAGTTGAAAGCAAAGTCATCAAGGGCTGTTCGGTTTTTGAGGGTTAGACGTACATTTCGAGCTCAAAGTTACCTTACTTATTTTATGTGTGGTTTTTGGTGACCGTTAGCCAATGATTATTCGGAGATCGTGAGATGCGGTCTGGTGTGGCGTAGGTTTTAGAGAAAAATTTCTTTATCGTGCCAACGTTTCGAGCTTTATTGAGATCATCTTCAGGGCGTTGGATGTGGAAAACAAAATGTATACAATGCAACAAAAACATCCTACATGTATGTGTTAAATTTAAAGAATGTTTGTAAATCCCAGGCACTGAAGATGATCTCAATAAAGATCGAAACGGTGGCACGATAAAGAAATTTTTTTTCTAAAACCTACGTCACACCAGACCGCATCTCACGATCTCCGTATAATTACTTATTTTAGTTGAATGAAGCTAAAGAAAAGAAGTTGAACGCCAAGAGCTATTGTAGTTTTTGAAGGTTTTGAAGGAAAATATACCATTTGAGCGCAGAACTATGCATAAAACGATGCGTTACTTTAATGAAACTAAAGAAAAGAAGTTGAAAGTCAGGGGCTTTTTGGTTTTTGGTAATCATAAAGATAGAAGTACCCACAATCCTCAGAATAATGAATACATATGAAAAATGATGCTTTATTTGAGGGAAGCGCGAACAAAAAGTTGAGACCCATAGTCATCAAGAGCTTTATAGGTTTTGAAGGTTAAAGATACTGGAAATAGCGGAAACTGTATAAAAGCTATTATGTTTAGTGGTCTAATTGTCCAAATTACATCTTTCAATTAATTATTCTTTTTTATGTAAGGTCTTGGTTGAGATGAAAAAGTTAGTGTCACGAGCGGGATTCGAACCCACTGCACAAAAGGCTAAAATAATAAAAGGAACTAGCAAGTTCATTTCAGACTTTGATCAATTTTACTTTATAATTCTTCTTGTAAATATGGATATTATTTCTACCTTCTTTTACGGATTTATTCAAGACGACCATATTATCTTTTTGGTCAGATGTCGATTTCAGGGGGACTTGCCTCCCTACTTTACCCTATGTGATATTAAAATACGACTAATTTGTATTAGTTATTATTCCTGATTAACAAAGATCAAATGGTTGTTGTTAAAATGTCAAAAGGCAGGGTTTGTAAATGATCTGTTTAAAAAATGCCGATTTTTACCTAGTTTGGTGATACTGAATTTTATTCTGACTCTTCTTCTGAGTAAACATCACAAGCTAACAACTATCAGAAAATCAAAGCGTCGAAATAGAACATCGATAAGGATGCATCATGCACCATAATTGAAGTCATCAAACCTCTGGACTTCAACACACTCAAGACAATTCGTTAAATTCACTAGTTTTTCGTGGTCCGCTTGACCAATTAATATCTTTCAATTAATTAAGGTTTTTAGTTGAGATGAAAAATGGCAAAAAGGATGGAAAATTCAAAGGTGGGGTTGAGATGGGAGGTTAGTGTTCGAGTGGATCGAAGTCACGATAGCTCAAGTAGTAGAGTAGCGGCGAATCTAGCTGAAGGTCGTAGGTTCGAATCCCGCTCGTCACACTGACTTTTTATCACAACTAAAAGCCTTAATTAATTGAAACACTCAACACAGTTTGTGTGAATACCGCCTGTTGTTATAATTATTTACACGTATTGTTTGAGTTACGACTTTTACTACAGTCCACAGCATATGAAATGTCCAAGTATTCTACAAAAATCCTATAAATCATAATGAATAAAACTGAAAAGAAGAAAACCTCCCCTTTCAAAGGGGCCACAGAGCCCACAGAGATTCGACAGGGGACATGTTTCATGGAGAAATAAGTGGAGAAAAGTGATCTTTAATTAATAAAAACCGTTTTATTTGGGTGGTTCTGATGGATTTTGTTAATATATTCATGATTTTCAGAAGGTAAAAATACCTCTAAGCGCACTTTCTAAACTTAAAAACACACACTGTTTATGCATAAGGTAAAGGACTCAACACAATAGAGGATACAAAGAATTGCATTATAGAAAAGTAAGACAACATCCGAAAATATATCAAAAAACTTTTAAAATCTTAGTCTAAAAAGAGTTTTGGAGAAGAATAGGGAGGCCAAGCCCTACTGAATGAGGAAAATCCCATACCTAAATAGTGAAGTAGTTGAAAAAGTTGTTTGTTTACAGAATAAAAGCTATTACTACAAAGCTAATTGTATGTTATTTCAAATGCTAGACGACCTAATGAATTCTGCGGATTGGCCCATTTTTGATAATAAAGCTCTGGATTGGATTCTATTTTACCGGAGAAAGTATTCAACAAAATCTGCTTTTAAAAAACCGTGGAAAATCAGTTTTGAAAAATGATTGAAATTTGATCTATTTGTCTATCTTGCGAGGTTTTGCAAGCTGAATTACGTCAGGAACGTCAATAACCTAAGGTGACTTTTCAAGTCTGTCGCCTGGCAATGGCTAAGCAGTTTTCCCCCAGAAAATTGCGTAATTTTAAACCTTTAAATTTTCAATAAATATATGAAGTTTGTTTAAGAGCAATCAAGGTCTCACAGATAAGTCAAATTTTACCTGCAGTCTTAATTGTAATACGGAGAATGCTTAAAGCTTCTAACTCCACCAAGAAAATGACGTGAATTAAGCCCCCGGATCAAGCATTCTAAGCATAGAACGGATAGAACCGAAGCAGCGCGGCCGAAACCCTGAACCCAGGTTGTATTACGCTATCGATCGCTTGCCCAAACCCATCGGTTTAACATTCCGCTTAAATCGACTTACTTAGCAACCCCGAGGTGCTTAGACCGATAGAAATCGACTTCACATTATTACAATGAAATATTACCTATCCGTTGACGGTCTGGGGTTAAAAAGGAAAAATAATTGCAACCTATTCTTAAAGGTAAAACCATTTATTTAATATGGCATTGTTGTGGGTTGTGAAGGAGGTCTTTAAATACTTTGTTTTTTGGTAAATTCACATTGGATTAGACAGGGCGGAAAGGGACATAAAGAAGCATCACAAATTATCTTAAATGAATATCATTAAAGATATGATATTTTCGATTTACAAGCACAAATTGAAGGTGTGAGTACTGATGAAGTCAGCCTTGCAAAGTTCTTTGGCAGGGTTTTATTTGAACTTGGGAAGGAAACAAGAATGTTAAATATTGTAAAAAAGAAGAGGAAAGGAAACTAACTTTGATTTTGATGTTGTGGACAGGTTTCACAAAACCACCGAAGTCCAAGATTCTTTCCTAATGTAAATAATGTCGTGTAGGACTTACCGTATTAGTTGCCGATCCGTATTGCTGGTGTGAATGTGTGTTGAACCTTAGCTGGGTGCCGGTGAAGACCTGGTTGCCCCCGGCCCCGGCTCCGCCCCAGACGGCCGGCCTGTAGCCGCCCCCGCCTCCTTGTCCTGCAGCGATAGCTGCCATCCCGGCCCCCCCGCTCCCGCCCCTACCACCTTTCATTGAGCAACGACCCCCACCGCTACCCTGCAACAAAGAAAATTTCAAAAATTAACCTCATTTTACTATTCGTCGGGCAGAGAAGTTCATAAAAAATGGTTCGTTGGAATTATCCATGGGATGAATTGAGGCAATAAACCTAAAAACGTGGACTTAAGAAAAGATGGAAAGAAATTAACGAACATAACTGGAAAATGGGGTGTAAGGAAAAAAGGAAGGAGAGTATAGCACATAAGCACGGTTTTGTTTTAGCATTGACATTTTTGTGAATAGCACGGCTTAATCGTTTTAAGTTTGTTAAATGAATTTATCAAATAATTTATAACATTTTATTGCCTATTTACCATACATAAGAAACAATGAGATATTCCACAGCGTCATAAAATTTAAAAAAAAAATGAATCGGTTCCTCATTATTTTTAAACAATACATTTGGTAGGATCGGGGATGACCAATGAATGTTCTGAAATAGAGAATATGTACTTAATTATACACAATATTTTCCAAATGATAAATGGAATATCAGAAATATATTGTTGAATAACAGCTGGTCGATCACCTTTACATAATTGATCACAGGGCTTTTCTTCTCTTCATCATTATTCTTTACTGACGGATACCTTAATAATGCCTTTTTTTTACGAGGGTTCGCAACAGCAAAGGTCATATAAACCCTCAGGGTGACGGTGTTTTTGAAAAAAAGCCCATTTGTAAATATATCGGGTTCGAATGCAGGGCTGTGGATCCGAACCCGGGACCTTCACCTTATGGTGATAAGCGCCGTGTCAACGCCTAAACCGTTGCAGCCTCCGACGCCCCCAATAATGCCTTATTACACTTTCATTGATAATTACTCTAAAGATATGAAGTAAGTTTCATCCGTTAATATAAAACAGGCTTTATAATCTTAGCTGTTCAACAAATTTTTAAAGGATAGATTAATTTAGTTTGCATATACAACAGCATTTAAAGGGCGAAGTATAGCCAAGTATAAGCCCCGACTAATCTAGTACGCATACGTTAAAATTATAATTGACAGATTTTAAAAACTCGTTTCCTTTTGACGTAGGAAAACAAATTTCAATTTTTTTCAAGGTGGGCCTGTAGTTTCGGATCATATTGGCCGGCCAATCTTCGATTTTTTTGGTATTTAAAGTGCGTTACGCCCTTTCGGTATATTCAGTGGTCAGCGAGTTTAGGCAGTGATCGGAAACGATCAAACTGGTTGACTTTTTGTTTACAAGATTCAAAAAAGCTGACGAAATATAAGTCACTAATAACAAAATATGAACCACTGAATAAGGCGAAATTAAAATTCTTCTGGGAGATAAAATTAGCGAGAATAGAAGGATCAGAGTGACCAAGTACTGTTTTACAGTTTGTTTGATCGAGACAGCAAAAAATCTGACGAAATACACAGACACTAATAACAAAAATCATGAATCACTGAATAACGCGAAAATAAAATTCTTCTGGAAGATGAAACTAGCAAAAATAGGCGGACCAGAATGATCAAAAATGAACAAGTACTGTTTTACTGCTTGTTTGAACGAGACAGGAAAAAATCTGACGAAATATACTGACACTAATAACAAAAATCATGGATCACGGAATAAGGCGAATTAAAATTCTTCTGGAAGATAAAACTAGCGAGAATAGGCGGACCAGAATGATCAGAAATGAACAAGTACTGTTTTACTGTTTGTTTGAACGAGACTGCAAACAATCTGACGAAATATACTGACACTAATAACAAAAAATATTGGTCACTAAATAAAGCGAAATATCCAAAATCTTCTGGAAGACAAAACGCGAGAATAGGCGGACCAGAATGATTAAAAATGAACAAGTACTGTTTTACTGTTTGTTTGAACGAGACTGCAAAAAATCTGACGAAATATACTGACACTAATAACAAAAAATATGAATCACTAAATAAAACGAAAACAAAAAATATGGATCACTGAACAAGGCGAAATTAAAATTCTTCTGGAAGATAAAACTAGCGAGACTAGGGGGACCAGAATGATCAGAAATGAACAAGTACTGTTTTACTGTTTGTTTGAACGAGACTGCAAAAATCTGACGAAATATACAGACACTAATAACAAAAAATATGGATCACTAAATAAAGAGAAATATTCAAAATCTTCTGGAAGACAAAACGCGAGAATAGGCGGACCAGAATGATCAAAAATGAACAAGTACTGTTAATCTTCTGGAAGATAAATCTAGCGAGAATAGGCGGACTACTGAGAATATAAAAAAAGTTATCAAAAGAGATACTGGATAAGTCATTCGTCTGACTACTAAAAGTACTGTTTTACTGTTGGTTTGAACAAGATTGCAAAAAATCTGACGAAATACAGATATTGGATAAGATGAATTGTAGAAAATCTTCTTGAAGACAAAACTAGCGAGATTCGGCGGACCCGAATGATCGCAAACGACAAAAGTACTGCTTTACTTTTTGTTTTGTTGAGACATATCATTTTGTAAAGATATCCAGAACCCAATGAAATTAAATAAAATCTCTAAGTTTTATGAAGTTTCATATTTGTGACTTTAGGAATGTTCCTACTTCATCAAAAATTAGAGGCTTTTGGATAACTAACCCACATATATTCAACTGACCCATCCAGATAATTGTTCCTTATGAACTCGATGAGCTGTGCTTTGTACATTTAAAAGGCAATATCGCAATGATAAAAAGCGATACTGGATAAGTCCTTCGTGTGACTAATTGAATTACTATAAATGTTAAAAGCGGATTCAATTTATTCTCATTCGTAGCATACTAAACTCAATCGGGCACAACACTGGTGCATTACATTCATCAGCATGAATGTCATGCGGGTAGATTTCTCATTTGGGCCCATAGGGGCGGATACGGACACAGTCTAGTCTACACCTATTTCTTGAATAGACGAATATTAAATTGTCTTATTTCTAGTAAGAAGCGAGATCTGACAAAAAAATATGCTTCCCAGTCGATGAGATTTTCTTAAAATTTACTGCACCTCAGGTCAATTTGGTTATGTTAGTTTTCGCTCTCGTGTAGCTTTGAGAAAGTCGTGGATGATGGATCAGAAAATTCCGAGCAACGTTGAGAAACTCATGGAATCTGTGACAAATCGAGAGGCCGACGCCCTAACCCAGATTTTATATTAACAGAAAATTAATATTAAAACGAAAAGTTAATTAGTATAATTAACCGTTTTATACATTTGACCATTTCCGTCTTGCTTGTTACGAATCGTCCCAGCGTTTTCCCGTTTGTATAAAATAAAGAAATTATTGGTGCGTATTCTAGTTAGGAGGGTAGAAAGTCAGAGTAGCGTGGATGTCCCTAATTAATGCCCATTACCTATCCAGAGAGCGTGTAAGATGCCTCTTCGGGTCAACCAACTTAGAAGTTCCAATGAGAAGACGGCCTACGCGCCCGAGAACGAACAGCGAGAAAAGGCGGACCACAATCCACTGTTCGATAACCGCTTACGACCACGAGTCCGGCCGTCGGCGGGAGTAATCACCAACGTATTTCTCCGATCTAGCGGTATACATTCGACAAACCGTTAACAAAACCTAATTAGTAATGAGGACATTGCGAACAATTAACGGAGCCATAAAGCGGTACGAAAGTACTTTCACGAAGCGGACAAATTTATAGATTGCAATAGCGTGCTTAATCGAGTAGTCGTTGACCCCTATGGTTTATATTTGTATTTCCCTAATAAGGAAGAGGGTCGATAAGAAGACAAGGTAACTAAGGTTTGAAAAAGTACCCACTTGTTGGTACTCGACAATTTCACGGTACGTCAAAACAAAGTACGGATTGCCGATTGGAAAGAAAAGTCGATAACCATGGTTTGACCGAGGGCAACCTGTTTCACCGGTCAAATCAAAGGCAATTTGTATTCATTAGAGTCAAGGTGGTCGGATCTGATTTTTACCCAGGACAACAAGTACATCGCAGCACCATTATTTTGTATGTGTAAAACCTATTTAAAAAATATCAATAAAAATGATACAATCGTCACACCTTTTTAAACAATAAAAATCAAATCCAAGGACTGTTCATCGAGAAAAACAAATCAACCCATTAGACGATAATTAAGAAGGGTAGACAATCGTCTGAATTTTGATGCTTAAAAGAATAATTGGCTTCTTATGAAAATGTTAATAATTCAAGGTTGGCTTTCAATGGAGTAATCTTCACAAAAATCATTATAGCACTTTCATTAGAATATTGATTTCGAATAACAATACTCTTATATACTTTTTTTGGCCTGATAATTTTACAATCAAGTAGGAACATTAATCTGTGGGGCTAGAGAACAGGAGGTTTTCCCCATTCATCATATGGAACGTGATGGATCTATTAAACGTGCTCACCGTAAATTGGACGATTGTGCTTTTGCCTAAGAAACGGCCGGAAGTACGATTTTTTTGCGTTACAGAAGTGAAAACAAGTACCATTCGGAACTTCAAATTCCTCGCGTAGCATGAGGGGAAATGTACACTTTCTGTACTCCAAAGTCGGTCCTGGGGTGGTTAGGGATGGTTAGTTGGTAGTTGGATGGTTAGTTTTTTTTTTTTTTTTTTTTTCAATCCAATGAATATTGGATATCTGTGCTGTGTAGCCCCACTCAGAATGTACAAAAGTAGTAAAAGTAAATCTTTATGCCAAATTAAGCTTTTTTTTCTACAGTCATAACACCCCTTGTAGGGATCGAAATGGAAAACAGCCGGATTATAGGAGAATGCTCGAGCATGGCAGCGAGTTTAAGGAAAAACATTTTAGGTTTTTAAGATATATAAGGATAATGGGTTGTATATAGTGGGGTACTTATTTCATAGGTTAAAGTTTAGATTTAGTTTATGTTAGAATAGGAGTATGCTGGGCGGCGGTGCAGCATATTATTTCAAGGCTCCACCGCTGCTCCGCTAAGTCGGCTCGGGGCGGAATATCGAGTACCCTCCGACCCGGATTCTACACCGAGGATATGCATGTGTGATTGGGTTTG